TCTGGCAACCCTGTTCTCCACTCACTTTCCTTTTTGCAGCTCTGCAAAGCAACTTTTGGGGCTGCGGTGGCTCAAGTGGTTAAGACGCTGAACTGAAGGCTGCGGAAGGCCGGTAGTTCGGCAGTTCGAGACCCAACTGTGCCGCATGACGGAGTGAGCTCCCGTCTCTAGTTCCAGCTCCTGCCAACCTAGCAATTCGAAAGCAAGAAATTGCAAGTAGATAAATAGGGACTATAAGGAAGGCCGAGCGCCGAAGAATAGATTCTTTTGAACTATGGTGTTGGAGAAAACTCTTGAGAGTCCCTTGGACTGTATGGATACCAGTGCTTTCCCCACACATTTCCCAACATCTGAACTTCCCTGTTGCTAACTGAAGCTGGTTGGGATGTGTGAAGCATGGTTGGGATCAGTGTTCCCTCTAAGCTGAGTTAGTGTGAGCTAGCTCACAGTTTTTTAGCCTCCAGCTCACACATTTTTGTCTTAGCTCGGGAAAGATGGCTCCAGAGCAAACTAATTTTATGCAGCAGCCAAACTACCTGCTCACAACTTTAATGCCAGTAGCTCACAAAGTAGAATTTCTGCTCACAGGACTCCACAGCTTAGAGGGAACATTGGTCGGGACTCGACTGTGCGACTGAACAACAAAACAAAATAGGGACCACTTCGGTGGGAAGGTAACAGCGTTCCGTGCGCCTCGGTGTTTAGTCATGCCGGCCACACGACCACGGAAACGTCTTCGGACAGCGCTGGCTCTTCGGCTTGGAAACGGAGATGAGCACCACAACCCTAGCGTCGGACTCGACTGGCTTTCGAGCAAGGGAGACCTTTACCTTTACCTTAAAGCAACTTTTAACCAGAAAAAGAGAGAGTGAGAGAGAGAGAGCGAGACCTAAGGCAACAGCAGCCGACTAATCTCCCCCACGCAACGGGAAAGCTCTCCGCCCTCGCGGCCTGCAAGCAGCGCCCCAGCCGGCGCTCGAGTGATCGCTGCGGGGGGCAAAGAAACCGCCCGGCGAGGCTGGCCTCTCTCCGCCCACGGGGCGTTGCAGGGAAAGGCGACGACGGGCCGCGGCTCGGGGAGGGATGCGCGTCTGGGCCTCCTCCTCCCCCCGGCCCCAGCGGCGACCATGAAGCGAGGCGGCCGACGACGCCCCACAGCCCCGCTGCGGGTCGAGACAATGGCGAGTCCCGGCGGCGCCGGGTAGACTATCGACTCAGACTGGCTGCCGCTCTCTAGGGTTTCAGGCAGAAGTCTTTCATATCACCTGCTCCCTGATGCTTTTAAACTGGAGATGCCAGGGATTAAACCTGGGACCTTCTACATGCAAAGCAGAGGCTCTTCCATTGAGCTCCTCCCCTCAAGGACCCTCGTGCGCCATATGCAGAAGGGGGGATCGCATGCCCCCAAACCTCCCAAAGGAGAGAGGGGAGGTCAGGCTCAGAATCGTAGCCAGAGGTGCTACTCCTAAGATGATTTCGGCCTAATCTGCTTTGCGAGGAAGCTTTAAAAACAACAGAAACGACAGCACGAGTGATTAGCGACGGAGGGATTTGTGAAGGAAAAGAGAGAAATCAAAACGCAAAAAAAAAGAGGACATGTCAACCTGCGTACGAAAAGATGTGCCCAATGGTCCTTGCGACCCCTTTAGACTGTGAGGAGGGCAGGTAGGCTGCTGTGTGCACCTCAAGCTGTTTCTTCCCCTTACAGTCATCACCTGTTGGTTACGGTAACAATCAATTAATACAAGGCAATTCATCACGACAGATCCGCAACACAGGCAGAGGCGCGCTCTGGGTGCATCACAGAGAAGGAGGGCCCAAGACTGACTTCAGAAGGGTGACAGCCAAGCACATTTGGGGACAGGGGAGGTACCAATAAGCTAAATGTTTGGAAGAAGCACCCCAGTGGGGCACCCCAGATACAGCCTCCCCACTACAGGGGAAAGGGCATCACCACTTGTCAACCAAGCCAGGGAGCCCTCAGCAACTCGGTGGGGTGGTGGGGTGAGGCAAGCCCGGACTCCGTGCCGGACTATACCACAACCAGGACATGCTGTGGCCTCCACTTACCTGTGCTTTAGGTGATAAGCCGCAAACCTCTGCATACTTACTCATACGTATCTTATTTATTAATGAGACTTTTATACCACCCTCCCCGCAAGCGGGCTCAGGGCGGGTCACAACACTAATTTACGGATGCCCTTAAAAACGACTATACTGATAAATAATTAAAAGGATTAAAGGGCAGTTACTACCCAAAAAAAGTTAATAAAATGTACAGCCCCCCCCCTAAAGAGCTGGGTGCAATTATTCTGGATTCTGAGGACGTCTGCATTCGGAAGTTTATACCCAGGATTAAATTTTGTTGATCTTGTTCCTGTTGAAGAGGCCACTGGACTCAAACGTTGTTTTGCTGCATCGGGCCAACACGGTTAACCCACCTGAATCTGGAACAAATGTTGCTGTTAACTTTATTTATTTATCCTTAGATTTGTATCCCGCCCTACCCCGAAGGCTCTGGGCGGCTAACAGGGGCACCACTTGGTTCCTATGAGTTTCTGGGCCTGGAGTTCACACCATAAGAAGTTAGGAAGAAAAATAGACTCTCTCTGTGTTCTTTTAACTTAATTTTATTTTTGTAAAGGCAGCCCATTACTAACTTCTATGTCAGGAATACCGCTTATAATGAGCATTACAAAAAGCTAGCCTCTCTATGTGCCCAGCTTAAAAACAAAATGTGTGAAAGCAGAATTCATAGATCATCGACTCATATCATAGAGTTGGAATGGACCTCCAGGGTCATCTAGTCCAGCTTCCTGCACCATGCAGGAAACTCAGAAATACCTCCCCCCTAAACCTCCAGTAACCCCGTTCCATGCCCAGAATCTATGCTTTTTAAACAATGAGTCATCAACAAAATGATTTTCCGGCAGTGCAATTCATCTTAAGTCTGCACTAGAGGTAAACAACACTTGTGGCACTCTGGTGAAATTTTATTCCTATTTAAATACCAAGCATTTGAAGAAAGAGGCTCCAGTTCATGAAAAGTGTATGTTGGAATAAAATTGGGGAGAGAGGATTAAATATCTACCACAAAGCAACAGGCAAGAAAATGATGGGACAGTGAGAATCCATTCACTGTATAAGTAGCTCCAGTAATGTAAAATGCCTGCATTATGAGGTGGATACTCATAGCAGCTGGAGAAGTGGCCTCCGGTCTGTGAAGCCTCAGAAGTGTTGGGGTTCCCCTTCCTGTAAAGACTACACAGTGAGGGTTCTCTCACGTATGTGGACAAATGGTCTCTAGGAAAATTTATGCTGGAATAAAATCTTGTTAGGCCCCGGTCACACGGGCTGGATATCGTGTGTGGGGGGGGAGGCGTGGCTACTTGCCCTGGCGCAGTTTGATCCACGATTACGCGATCAGATGCGCCGGCGGCACACCACGGGTCCTTCCCTTGGCGCCGGCGAGTAAACGAGGGACCGGAGGGGAATGCCGCGCACCCGCGTGATCACACCACGGGAGTCTGGAGGCAGCCCGTGGCAAACGTTTACTTTGGCGGTACTAGTTTTTTAAGGCACATTGTCGGCGGTAAGCCACGGGTGTGCTCCACTTCCCAGATGTTGGGGTGTGATCGCGCCCCGATAATCCGCCCACCATCCGTGCCTCTCCCGTGGCAACTTTGCCGTGTGACCGGGGCCTTAGTCTTCAAAATCCTCCAAGACACCAGTTTATTGTGTTACAACAGACTAGCAGCACAATTGCACAGTGATGCGATACACTTCAGCAAGCCCTGCTTTTGGTTTCAAAATAGGTTGGGGGGGGGAGCCAGTGAGAGGTGATGGTGTAAGATTTGGGATCCCCACTCATTCATAAATCTCACTGGGTCTCCTTGGGCCAGTCTGTCCCACCTCACTGTTGTTGTGAGGATAAAATGAAGGGCACATATGCTGTCAAACGTCTTTCTCTCATTGGATTCTTTCTGCATTCTGACGTAGCAGGGTGTGTGTGTGTGATGATGATGATGATGATGATGATGATGATGATGACACAGTATTGAGTCAAATGGATAAAATGGTTGAATTTCAAAAGTGCCCTTGCTTAATTGGGCAAGAAATTTAAGTTACATATATTTTTTAAAAGACTGCTGTTTGCAAGCAACATATTGAAAGAGGTATTCCTTCCTCTTGTAAGACAAAGCAGAATGTCTCTTCTAAGATGGTATTTGCTGCAGCATAGGCACGGAACATGGGGAAAAAATCCTTTTGAGACATATTTTTCTCACATGTGGATAAGCAGATTTATTTGAGCTACAATTACAATTCAGGCAATTATGTGATTATGATTCCTTTAAGTGGATGACAGTCCTCTTTCAAAATGTTAGTGTTGTACGGCTCTACTGGTAGCAGGAGCTCCTTTGCATATTAGGCCACACACCCCTAGTGTAGCCAATCCTCCAAGAGCTTACAGCTGTAAGCTCTTGGAGGATTGGCTACACTAGGGGTGTGTGGCCTAATATGCAAAGGAGCTCCTGCTACCAGTAGAGCCCAGTTTGGGAATAGGAATGGTTTGTTTTGGGGATCACCCAAGAGAGATTATATTTTTCAGTTATCAGTTCATGCTGTTAACCACCAAGGTGTACACCAGTTAGAGACTGTAGCAAGGCAACAGGATTAATGTTATATTAAAGCAAAAGTAATGATTTATCATTATACTTCACTTCTGGAGTTTTTGATGTTCGGTGCACAGAGCCCCATTAAGTTATTCCTTCAAAGACAGAAAGGCATTATAAAACAAATTTTCCTTGAAACTTTCTGTGTTTATTTCCTTCCTGCTCTTCTCTTCCTTTTCCAGGATTATCAATTTTTGCCCCCAGTGTGGAAAGAAAGTAGAAGCAACCTTTGTCTTTTGCCCTTCCTGTGGGAGCCGGCTGCCTGCACAGGAAGAAGAAGAGGCAATGCAGATCACTCCTGCTCCTTCAGTGCAAGGTAAGAAGATTAAGTCAAAAATGAGGATATCTGCAAGCAGAAAAACTTCACCTATCTGAAGGCCAAGCAGGGTGCTCTCTAGTTAAAAGCTATAGGTGGTAGTGAAAAGGGCTGTCAAGGCACAACCAACTATCATGGGAAAGA